GCCGAGACGAGCGGAGCGCGAAAGATATCGGAGGCGCGAAGGAAGAAACGCGGAAAGGAAAAGTTTCTCGAGACGAGCTAAACGGTACAAAGATAATAGACTTTTCGCGTACGCGTGTATCTGCTGGTTGGCGGCGAGGACTTTAGACCGTACGAGGGTACGCGTCGGGTAGAGCGCAACGTTCTCGCGATAGGAAATTCGTTGATCTCGAATGTCGTCGTAAAAGACGAGCGAACGAGAAAATAAATAAAAATATAATCGGTCGCGTCTAAAAATATTAAAAATATAATCTTCTCGATGTTTCAGAGGGATGGGTTAAGACGGACGTGAGTTTCACCTTGAAGAGATGGGTGGACGAGCTTCGATTGAACCAGGCGATACAGATAGCGTGCAGCACCTGCTCGATCGATCGAGACACAGCGCCCGTCTCCATCGAGCAAACCCTGAAACCGTTTCTCGTGATACACGCGTCGCCGCTACCGCAAAAGAACAGACCGAAGAGGAACTCGAATTGCCAACCGGAAACGAAGGAATGCTGCAGAGACGAGCTGTACATAAATTTCGAAGATATCGGTTGGAACGACTGGATTCTTCATCCGACCGGATATCACGCGTACTTTTGTCGAGGCTCCTGTTCGAACGCGGCGTCCTTGACTGTCAGCGGATCGCCCTACAGCAACGTGATCAGAGTAAGTTATTACTCTTCCATCGGCTTCCATCGGCTCTCGAACCACTCTCGAGCTTTTCTCACTTTCTTCGCCTTATGTTTTCGCTTTCAGAAATTGCTGGCTAGGACCGGCAATACGGCGCACCGTAAGGGCGAAATCGTTCCGTGTTGTTCGCCCACCCAATTGTCTCCGATTCAGCTGCTCTACGTCGATTCGAACAATACGATTACGCAAAAGACACTGCCGAACATGGTCGTGGAGGCCTGTGGTTGCATGTGATTTACACGGAAACCAGCTTCTTTCAACGTCGACGGAACGAACGAGCGAACGAACGAACGAATCAACGCGATCGTGCAGATCAAATAGCGCGATCCGCGTTATTCTTTCACGAAATTTTTCGTTTAATTAAGTCACTCGTTGTCGTCTAAACCCTAAATTCTATATCTAAAGATAATTCGAAACGGATCCGGTGTGTCTTCGTGTACACGCGTTACGGTACAGAAACAGTATTTATATTCGATCTATAGCTATCGTCGAACGTTGCTTTCGACCTGGCAAGCGTTCTACTAACTGTTTCACAGATCCCTAATCTAGCGTAATCGTGTTCCTCGATCAAATTTATTTATTATTTCAATGGACAATAGCGTGTTCGACGGTCGCATCTTCGAATGGTCGAACCATCGCCTCGAGACGATCGGACCGACTACGTATACGCTTTACCGATCGAATCGATCGTCCGACCAAATTTTCCACGAGAAACTGTCGAGTCTTTTGTTATCGTTGTTCGTTCGCGTTACGTATCGCGTTATCGAATTATCGCGACCCATTGTTTCGGTATCTGAACGATTGATCAGAATACCGTATGCAACGTCGACGAGCCGCTCCGGTTCCGCTTTTTATCCGAATTCGATCTTATCGATACGATTTGACGCGCGTTCGCGGTTATCTCGAACCACGGGCCCAACTTCTTACGATCATTCGGTTCTCGCTAAGGTTTTTCTATCATCACGGACGAGCAAGTGAAGAGGAATTAAGAAGGAATCGCGTCGTCCGTGACGATCAACGCGACGCCAGTGGAAAGCGAATCGATGTAAATGGTGCGAAAACCGACATAACTAGCAAAACTAATAGTCGACGAGAGTTTTCGCGATCCTAACAATCGTAGCTGTCGTGCGCGGAGTAACGTAACTAAACTGGACCGTAAGCGTTCGATTAGCAAACTTTTCTGGAACAGTTATCGCGCAATTTGTAGCTGCTGAAATAAACGCGACGCATACGCGCCCGAACATTAACTGGAAAGGTTCGATCGATTTCTTTAACCCTACCCAAAATATGCGCCATCCCCCTCGTTAATGTGATTGAGCGAGCGAAGCTCTTATACTTGATTTTCCAACTTCTTTGTCCGCGTTTTTCTTTCGCACCTCTCAACCAATTCTCATCAAATTTTCCACGCACATGCGTACGTACATCCAGATGGACATAGAAAAAAAAATTTTTAATCGGACTTGCCACGGACGAATAACCACTGAAAAAACTGATCCTAAAGATGAGGGTCCGAACACGCATATAAGGAAAATAAAAAAATGAAAATTTCGCCACTTTGTCGACGTAGTATGGTTCCTGAGGCATTTAGAAATACATTTCTATTAGGGTTTGATGCGTTTTGATGCCTAATAAAGGCAGAAAATGAATTTTTGTCGAATTCGGTCGAAAACGGTACAGGTGGCGCCATCTACCGGCGAGCGGCGGAACTACGAAATACTACGAAACGCTAAAATTTCGATTTTCTCGAAAACTAGGGACTTTTCCGAAATTCTGAGATATACAAATTCTTCCTTGTCGCCTACGGAATCGAACGAATCTAATTATAGCCGCCTAGGACCATTATTACAGAAAATAGAAAAATAGCCCATTTCATGGACTAAAAAATTGCCGTCCATCTAGCGGTGAAAGTTGGAACTACAAAAACATAAAAATGCGATTTTCTCGAAAATTAGCAAACTTTGA